GTTTTTATTTGTGAGTAATGTCTTGGCTATTTGAGGTTTTTTTCTGATTCCATATAAAACAAAGTATTATTTTTCAAGATATTTAAAGTATGACAATGGAACTTTAATAGGGATTGCATTAAAATTATATATTGCTTTGGGTAGTATGGACATTTTAACAATGTTAATTTTTCGCAACCATGAGCGTGGTATGTTTTTCCATTTGTTAACATTTTCAGCTATTTCTTTTCTTAGAGTTTCATAGTTCTATTTGCTACCAGAGATCAGACTATACTATAAATTTATAGTGATCATAACAGCATGGTTTTGGCAAAAAAACAGAGAGGTAGATGTATGGAACAGAATAGAGAACCAAGAGATGAACCCAGCTACTTACCGCTATATGATCTTTTACAAGCCAATTAAAAACATTGAGTGGGGAAAAGAGTCCCTATTTAATAAATGGTGCTGGATGAACTGTCTGGTGACCTGTAGAAGACTGGAACTGGATCCACACCTTTCACCACTAACTAATATTGACTCTCACTAGGTTAAAGATTTAAGCTTAAGACATGAAACAATAAAAATACTAGAAGAAAGTGTAGGGAAAACACTTGAAGAAATCAGCCTGGGTGAAAATTTTATGAGGAGGACTCCCCCCCTCCAGGCAATTGAAACAACATCAAAAATATACTACTGGGACCTCATCAAATTAAAAAGCTTCTGCACAGCCAAGAACCCAGTAAGTAAATCAAGTAGATAGCCCTCAGAATGGGAAAAGATATTTGCTGGATATGTCTCTGACAAAGGTTTAATAACCAGAATCCACAGAGAACTCAAACATATTAGCAAGAAGAGAACAAGTGATCACCCCTCAGAGTGGGTAAGGGACTTGAAGAGAAACTTCTCTGAAGAAGGCAGGTGCATGGCCTACAGATATATGAAAAAATGCTCACCATCCTTAATCATCAGAGAAATGCAAATCAAAACTACTTTGAGATATCATCTAACATGCTGGTGGGATTGCAAACTAATATGTTCCTTGTGGAAAGACATCTGGAGAACACTTAGAAAACTAAAAATAGACCTGCCATTTGATCCTATAATTCCTCTATTAGATACATATCCAGAAGAACAAAAATCAAACTACAATAAAGATATTTGTATCAGAATGTTCACTGAAGCCCAGTTCATAATTGCTAGGTCATGGAAGAAGCCCAAGAGCCCATCAACCCACGAATGGATCAATAAATTGTGGTATATGTGCACCATGGAATACTATGTAACCATTGAGAAAGATGGAGACTTTACCTCCTTCATGTTTACAAAGATGGAGCTGGAAAATATTCTTCTTAGCAAAGTATCTCAAGAATGG